GGGGAAATCAATGTCTTTTCCTGTCACCAAGCTCTTTGTGCAATATGTATATATAAGGGGTACTAGGGGGCTGCTGCCCAAGGTGGCTCCAGCGCGCAAGGGTGACGAGGCTGGCAGGCTCGAGGCGAGGCCAAGGCGCCCAGACTTCAAGGAAACAAGGCCAAAACGTCGCCCATAGACGCCCCACTCCCGTGTCCCCTTGCCCCGACGTCGTGCGTTTCCAAAATTTATGCATCGTCACGGGATATCAATGTATGTTCCTGTCACCAAGCTCTTTTTGCAATATGTATATATAGGGGGAACCATGGGGTCTCATTCGCATAGGTGCCCGACAAGGGGTGTTGGTGGGTGACTAAGGAACATGAGGCTGTATCGAGCACCAACAAGGCCACCCATGCCAAGCCCCCCACCCCCACCCCCAGCTCATGAAAGATGCCTCCCCCAACATGTTGCCTTGTTAGCTAGTCCCCTGTTGCCTTGATTTCTCCAACACGATGCCTTGAGATGTCGAACGATGGCCTGAAAACTAGCCCCGTTGCATTGATTTCTTGAACGACGACCCGGAAACTAGCCTCGTTGCCTTGATTGCTCGAACATGTTGCCTTGATATCTCTAACGACGACCTGAAAACTTGCATTGTTGCCTTGATTACTCGCACACATTGCCTTAAAACTCACCACGATGGCCTGGAAACTAGCCACGATGCCTTGATTTTCCACGACGTCGTGTGCATACTAAAAATTATGCATGGTCAGGGAAATCAATGTCTGTTCCTGTCACCAAGCTCTTTGTGCAATATGTATATATAGGGGAGGGCATGGACGTTGAATCCACCAACAAGCATCGCAAAGGCGAGCCCCAAGACCCGTGAAAGAGCCCACCCCCCAACACGTTGCCTTGATTGCTCGAACGACAACCCAAAAACTAGCCGCGTTGCCTTGATTCCTCGAACATGTTGCCTTGATTTGTGGAGCGATGACCCGATGACTAGAAGTGTTGCCCATTTTTGTCGAACGACGACCTTGAAACTAGCATGGTTGCCATGATTCCTTGAGCATGTTGCCTTGATTTTTTGAATGATGACCTGAAAACAAGCCTAATGCACAACATGGGTGATATTCCTCATTGCCTTGACGTATATATTGGGGGGACCATAGAGACGAAACATCCATCTAGCACCAACAAAGCAAGCCCTAAGACCCGTGAAGGAGCCCATCCTCTGAAGGGTTGCCTTGATTGCTCGAACGATGAGCCAAACAATAGCCCCGTTGCCTTGATTCCTCGAGCGTGTTGCCTTAATTTGTCGAACGATGCCTTGATGACTAACATTGTTGCTTCGATTTGTCGAACGACGACCTTGAAACCAGTCTTGTTGCCTTGGTACCTAGAGCTTGTTGCCTTGATTTTTTGAACGATGACCTGAAAACTTTCCTAATGGACAACATGTGGGCTATTCCTTGTCGCCATGATGTATATATTGGGGGGAACATAGAGTCGAAGCAACCATCAAGCACCAATAAGGCAAGCCCCAAGACCAGTGAAGGAGCCCACCTGCCAACGTGTTGCCTTGATTGCTCGAACGACGAGCCAAAAACTATCCCCGTTTCCTTGATTCCTCGAATGTGTTGCCTTAATTTGTCGAACGATGACCTGATGACTAACATTGCTGCCTAGATTTGTCGAAAGATGACCTTGAAGCTAGTCCTGTTGCCTTGATTCCTTGAGCTTGTTGCCTTGATTTTTTGAACGATGACCTAAAAACTATCTTGATGGACAACCAGGGTGTGCTATCCTCCTTGCCTTGACGTCTAATATTGGGGCGACCATAGGGACGAAGCATCCATCGAGCACCGACAAGGCAAGCCCCAAGACCCGTGAAGGAGCCCACCCCTAACACGTTGCCTTGATTGATCGAACGACGACCTTGAAAAACATCTCTGTTTCCTTGATTCCTCGAACATGTTGCCTTAATTTGTCGAATGATGACGCGATGACTAGCATTGTTGCCTATATTTGTCGAATGACGACCTTGAAACTATCCATGTTGCCTTGATTCGTTGAGCATATTGCCTTGATTTTTAGAATAATGGCATGAAAACAAGCCTCGTGGCCTTGCTTTCTAGAACATGTAGTCTTGATATCTCGAACAACATTCGGATAGCTATACCCATTGCCTTGATGTAAACATAGGGGGACCGTAGAGACGAAGAAAATACCGAGCAGTGGCAAGTTAAGCTCCAAGACCCTTGAAAGAAGCCCACACCAAACATGTTTCCTTGGATGCTCGTACGACGACCTGAAAACATGCCATGCATCCTTGATTCCTCTAACATGGTGCATTAATTCTATGAACGATGACCTGATTGCAAGCCTTGCTACCTAGATTTGTCGAACGATAGCCTTGAAAGTTGCCTACCCGAACACATTGCCTTGATATGTCGAACGACGCCAAGCCCCACGGCTCATGAAAGATGCCTCCCCAAACACGTTGCTTTGATATGTCGAACGATGGCCTAAAAAGTAGCCCCGTTGCCTTGATTTCTTGAACGACGACCCGAAAACTAGCCTTGTTGCCTTGATTGCTCGAACACGTTGCCTTGATATCTCTAACGATAACATGAAAACTTGCATCTTTTCCTTGATTACTTGCACACATTGCCTTAAGACTCACCACGATGGCCTGGCAACTAGCTACGATGCCTTGATTTTCCCTGACGTCGTGTGCATACTAAAAATTATGCATCCTTAGGGCAATCAATGTCTGTTCCTGTCACCAAGCTCTTTCTGCAATATGTATATATAGGGGAGGGCATGGATGTTGAATCCACCACCGAGCATCGTAAAGCCAAGCCCCAAGACCCGTGAAACAACCCACCCACAACACGTTGCCTTGATTGCTCGAATGACGACCCAAAAACTTGTCGTGTTGCCTTGATTCCTCGAACATGTTGCCTTGGTTTGTGGAATGATGACCGGATTACTAGAAGTGTTGCCTAGATTTGTCGAACGACGAAACATCTTGCCTTGGTTTCTCGAACGACGACCTGAAAACACGCCATGTATCCTTGATTCCTAAAACATGGTGCATTAATTTTACGAACGATGACCCGATCACAAGACTTGCTACCTTGATTGCTTGAACGACGGCCTTGAAAGATGCCTAACCGAACACGTTGCCTTGTTAAATAGTTCCATGTTGCCTTGATTTCTCCAACATGTTGCCTTGATATGTTTAAGAAAATCCTGAAACCGAGCCATGTCGCCTTATTTTCTTGAACGACGACCTGGAAACTAGCCTCGTTGCCTTGGCTGCTGGAACATGTTGCCTTGTTTTCTCTAACGACGACCAGAATACTTGCATTGTTGCCTTTTGATTTTAGAACAATGACATGCCATGTATCCTTGATTCCTCTAACGTGTTGCATTGATTTGATGAACGATGACCTGATTACAAGCCTTGCTGCCTAGATCCGTTGAACGATGGCCTTGAAAGATGCCTACCCGAACACGTTGCCTTGTAAATAGTTCCATGTTGCCTTATTTCTCCAACATGTTGCCTTGATATGTTTAAGAAAATCCTGAAAACTAGCCATATCACCTTATGTTTTTCTTGAACGACCCACGATGCCCTTATTTATCGAACGGAGACCAGAAAACTAGCCTCGTTTCCTTGATGTGTTTTTATCGGAGGCCGCGTCACCGTTGTTGGTGAAATACGGCCCGATCACCGGGTTTGATTATTGTAAGTTCCTTTATCCTTGTCCAATTCGTGCCAAACCGGATTCATTTTGGCGAGTTATAGAGAATTATAGCGTCAGAGGTTTTTCGACTCGGCCAAGACTAGATACGCCCAAGATTAGCCGGTGACGAGATGACCCACTTGGCCAAAATCATATTTTGCTCGGTCACTCGAAATAAGTGCACATTTTCTCGATCACGAATTTCCGTGTAAATCAAGGTTTCCGAGCAACTTTCATTCAATGGGTTTTTGCTAGTTCGGAAGTACAAGAACACCCGGTGACCAAAGACGACACAATGCGGTGAAAGTTAGCCAAAATCACATCTTGCAAGCCAACCCGAAATCCGTGCACATTTTATCGATCACGAAAGAAATTTTGCCGTGTAAATCAAGGTTTCCGAGCAACTTTCATTCAATGGGTTTTTTCTAGTTCGGAAGTACAATAACACCCGATGACCAAAGACGACACAAGATGTGAAGGAGCCTACCTGCCAACGTGTTGCCTTGATTTCTCGAATGACGAGCCAAAAACTAGCCCCGTTGCCTTGATTCCTTGAACGTGTTGCCTTAATTTATCGAACAATGACCTGATGACTAACATTGCTGCCTAGATTTGTCGAACGATAACCTTGAAGCTAGTCCTGTTGCCTTGATTCCTTCAGCTTGTTGCCTTGATTTTTTGAACGATGACTTGAAAACTATCCTGATGGACAATCGGGTGTGCTATCCTTGTTGCCTTGATGTCTAATATTGGGGGGACCATAGGGATAAAGCAACCATCGAGCACCGAGAAGGCAAGCCCCAGGAACCATGAAGGAGCCCACACCCTAACACGTAGCCTTGATTGCTCGAACGACGACCAAAAAAAATCCATGTTTCCTTGATTCCTCGAACATGTTGCCTTAATTTGTCGAACGATGACACGATGACTAGCATTGTTGCCTAGATTTGTAGAACGACGACCTTGAAACTATCCATGTTGCCTTGATTCGTTGAGCATGTTGCCCCTATTTTTATAATGATGGCCTGAAAATAAGCCTCGTGGCCTTGCTTTCTAGAACATGTAGTCTTGATATCTCGAACAACATTCGGATAGCTATACCCATTGCCTTGATGTAAACATAGGGGGACCGTAGAGACGAAGAAAATACCAAGGAGTGGCACGTTAAGCCCCAAGACCCTTGAAAGAAGCCCACACCAAACATGTTTCCTTGGATGCTCGAACGACGACACGAAAACATGCCATGTATCCTTGATACCTCTAACATGGTGCATTAATTCTATGAACGGTGACCTGATTACAAGCCTTGCAGCCTAGATTTGCCAAACGATAGCCTTGAAAGTTGCCTACCATAACACATTGCCTTGATATGTCGAACGACGCCAAGCCCCCCGGCTCATGAAAGATGCCTCCCCCAACACGTTGCTTTGATATGTCGAACGATGGCCTGAAAACTAGCCCCATTGCCTTGATTTCTTGAACGACGACCCGAAAACTAGCCTCGTTGCCTTGATTGCTCGAACATGTTGCCTTGATATCTCTAATGACAACATGAAAACTAGCATCGCTTCCTTGATTACTCGCACACATTGCCTTAAAACTCGCCACAATGGCCTGGAAACTAGCTACGATGCCTTGATTTTCCCCGACGTCGTGTGCATACTAAAAATTATGCATCCTTAGGGAAATCAATGTATGTTCCTGTCACCAAGCTCTTTGTGGAATATGTATATATAGGGGAGGGCATGGATGTTCAATGCACCACCGAGCATCGTAAAGGCAAGCCCCAAGACCCGTGAAAGAGCCCACCCCCAACACGTTGCCTTGATTCCTTGAACGACGACCCAAAAACTTGTCGTGTTGCCTTGATTCCTCGAACATGTTGCCTTGATTTGTGGAATGATAACCGGATTACTAGAAGTGTTGCCTAGATTTGTCGAACGACAAAACATGTTGCCTTGGTTGCTCGAACGAAAACCTGAAAACATGCCATGTATCCTTGATTCCTAAAACATGGTGCATTAATTTTACGAACGATGACCCAATCACATGACTTTCTACCTTGATTGCTCGAACGACGGCCTTGAAAGATGCCTAACCAAACACGTTGCCTTGTTAAATAGTTCCATGTTGCCTTGATTTCTCCAACATGTTGCCTTGATATGTTTAAGAAAATCCTGAAAACAAGCCATACGGCCTTGTTTTCTTGAACGACGACCTGGAAACTAGCCTCGTTGCCTTGTCTGCTGGAACATGTTGCCTTGTTTTCTCTAACGACGACCAGAAAACTTGCATTGTTGTCTGTTGTTTTTAGAACGATGACATGCCATGTATCCTTGATTCCTCTAACATGTTGCATTGATTTTATGATCGATGACCTGATTACAAGCCTTGCTGCCTAGATCCGTCGAACAATGGCCTTGAAAGATGCCTACCCGAACACGTTGCCTTGTAAATAGTTCCATGTTGCCTTGATTTTTCCAACATGTTGCCTTGATATGTTTAAGAAAATACTGAAAACTAGCCATATCGCCTTGTGTTTTTCTTGAACGACCCACGATGCCCTTATTTATCAAGCGGAGACCAGAAAACTAGCCTCGTTTCCTTGATGTGTTTTTATCGGAGGCCGCGTCACCGTTGTTGTTGAAATACGGCACGATCACCGGGTTTGATTATTGTAAGTTCCTTTATCCTTGTCCAATTCGTGCCAAACCGGATTCATTTTGGCGAGTTATAGAGAATTATAGCGTCTGAGGTTTTCCGACTCGGCCAAGACTAGATACGCCCAAGATTAGCCGGTGACGAGATGACCCACCTGGCCAAAATCATATTTTGCTCGGTAACTCAAAATCCGTGCACATTTTCTCAATCACGAAAGAAATTTTTCCGTGTAAATCAAGGTTTCCGAGCAACTTTCATTCAATGGGTTTTTGCTAGTTCGGAAGTACAAGAACACCCGGTGACCAAAGACGACACAACGCGGTGAAAGTTAGCCAAAATCACATCTTGCAAGGCAACCCGAAATCCGTGCACGTTTTATCGATCATAAAAGAAATTTTGCCCTGTAAATCAAGGTTTCCGAGCAACTTTCATTCAATGGTTTTTTGCTAGTTCGGAAGTACAAGAACACCCGGTGACCAAAGACGACACAACACGGTGAAAGTTAGCCAAAATCACATCTTGCAAGGCAACCCGAAATCCATGCACGTTTTATCGATGACAAAATAAATTTTACCAGGTAAATCAATGATTTCGAGCAACTTTCATTCAATGGGTTTTTGCTAATTCGAAAGTACAAGACCACCTGGTGACCAAAGATGACCCGACCCGATGAAAGTTAGCCAAAATCACATCTTGCAAGGCAACTCGAAATCCGTGCACATTTTCTCGATCACGAAAGAAAATTTACTAGGTAAATCAATGATTTCGAGCAACTTTCATTCAAAGGGTTTTTGCCATTTCCAAAGTTAAAGTTCGGTAGTGCGTGTGTACAAGTGTCGAAGCCTCGGTCCCCCGGTAATTACGGACCAAAAAATAAATTTTTTTATTGAAACGCACATTATTCATGTTAATAAAGAGCGACGCAAAATTTCGTCAAAATACGAATTAATTTGAGGGAGTTATGGATGATTTTGAAAATTTATGCATCCTAGGGGAAATCAATGTCTGTTCCTGTCACCAAGCTCTTTGTACAATATGTATATATAGGGGGTACTAGGGGGCTGCTGCCCCTCGGCGCCCCAAGGGGCTTCTAGCACGCAAGGTTGACGAGGCGAGGCCAAGGCGCCCAAACTTCACGGAAACAAGGCCAAGACGTCGCCCATAGACGCCCCACTCCCGTGTCCCCTCGCCCCGACGTCGTGCGTTTCCAAAAATTATGCATCGTCACGGGATATCAATGTCTGTTCCTGTCACCAAGCACTTTGTGCAATATGTATATATAGGGGGAACCATGGGGACTCATTCGCATAGGTGCCCGACAAGGACTATTGGTGGGTGACTGAGGAACATGAGGCTGTATCGAGCACCAACAAGGCCACCCATGCCAAGCCCCCCAGCTCATGAAAGATGCCTCACGGTGTTCATGGTGTTCCGCTAACAACTTTGTGAAGGAAATTGTGAGACTTCACGGTGTTCCGCTAACAATTTTGTCGGATCGTGATAGTCGTTTCACCTCACGATTTTGGAAAAGTCTACAAGAGGAATTGGGTACCAAGTTGTGTTTAAGTACAACTTACCATCCGCAGACTGATGGTCAGAGTGAAAGAACGATACAAACACTTGAAGATATGTTGAGAGCATGTACCTTGGAATTCCTAGGTAATTGGGATGAACATTTACCATTGGTAGAATTTTCCTATAACAATAGTTTTCACTCGAGCATTAAGATGGCACCTTGCCAAGCTTTGTATGGAAAAAAGTGTCGTACGCCGTCTTGTTGGCTTGAGGCTGTGGAAAAGCAGTTTATGGGACCGGAGATGGTTCATCAAACTGCTGAAAACTTGAAAATAATTAGGGAAAGAATAATAGCAGCTAAAGATCGTCAAAAGAGTTATGCTGACAAAAAGCGAAGACCGATGACTTTTGAAGTTGGGGATTCGGTTTTGCTTAAAGTCTCGTCGTGGAAGGGACTTATAAGATTTGGTAAAAGGGGAAAGTTGAGTCCAAGGTTTATTGGACCGTTTAAAGTTCTTCAGAGGATTGGGAACCAAGCTTACAAGCTCGAACTACCAGAAGAACTAAATGGAATTCATAACACTTTTCATGTGTGTTATTTACGAAAGTTCACGGGGGAAGTTCCCGACATGATTCCACTTTCGGAGTTGAGAATCGATGAGAACAAAAGGTTGATTGAAGAACCAGAGGCAATTGTTGACCGAAAGACTAAGAAGTTGCGATGCAAGATGGTCGAGTTAATGCTTGTCCGATGGAAACACATGAATGGGCCGAATCTCACCTGGGAGACGGAGAGTGACATGATGGGTCGCTATCCGCATTTGTTTGTTGAGGTGTGATTCCGGGGACGGAATCATTCTAAGAATAAAAATAAGCATCAAAATTTAATGGTAAAATAAACTCGATATCTTTAGATAATGTTGTAGTAGTTGAAACAAGGTTTCCGAAGATATAAAGAATGCCGAAATCCGAGTTATAACGAGGAAGTTATGACCTGTCGAAGTTTCGCTACAAAACCGGCACCGTTGAATGACGTAAAAAGTGGAATTTACGTTAGAGCGATATTTAGCCTTAGTGATCTAAACGAGAATCGAATCTCGTTGTTAGTATCAAAGTGATAAAAAGTTAGGCGAGAACGGACGTCAAACGAAGAAGTTATGAATTTATAACGAAATTTTCTGTCTCGGCCTATTAAAAATAAATAATAAAAATAAAGTCAAAATTAGCCAACGGAGTCTAAACGAAAGTTGTAGAGCGTAGTCTCACCTTCGCGTGGATATAATGAACGTCGAAAACGAAGTTAGTATGAAGGAGATATGAAATTTCGAAGTTTATTAAATAACTAATAATTAAATTTAATTATTAAATCCGGCCTTATCCGAAGACGAGTCACCGGACTCATCCGGAGTACGCCCCGCGTACTCGAGTACGCCCCACGTACAGCAAGAAATGTCGACACTTCGGATGACGCATGCAGTGACGACTTCGGAGCCATGTACGCCCCGCGTACGAGGAGGTTCCAGCCTCCTATAAACAGGATGTGAGGGGTCCTGGCATAGTTGCTCATTTCTCCTCCGTTTCGTGCCGAAGCTCTGCGTTTTTACCCCCGAAGCCCCGGTAATATTCCCGAGTCCCAAAGCAAGTCCTGAGATTCTGAAGATCCCGAGAAGTGCGGTTTTCGAGCCGTAGCTCTGCCCGCGAGAAGTTCGATTTTTGTAGTGATCTTCCAGATCTGCTGAGGATTACAACTTTTGCAAGCCGTAGTGTTGTCTGATCATTGATGTGTGTAAAACTCACTTAGTTTTAAACCTACTTTAATTATCAAATAACACACAAAAGGCAGTGAACCTATCAATTGTGGTATAGCTAAATAAGCAGGGTATCGAACACAGGGAACGGCAAATTAAATTAAAAACTAATTCTATCTAAGTTGATTAAGAAATAGGGGTTTTTCTCTAGTTTTACAAGACTAGAAACTTACTAACTATAACTAATTTAAGACTAGAAAATAACAACTTAACTAGATTCAATAATTGGAAAGGAACTTCTGTTTAGTTCAACTCGGTTAACTCTATGGTTGATTTCAAGGTAATAGTGCAATGGATTAATTCTTTCGTTGGTTACCGATTCAAGTGATTAGGTTCATGTTCACTACCCTAATCCTTAGCAAATAAACTAACTCAAACAGTGGCCAATTGCTTAATTTAATTATATTTACTAGATTAATTATTCGGGTTAAGTTAGACTTGCAATAGCTAATTAATTTATTATTTTAATTAACCTCTTGTTTGATGGTCATCTTACAAGCTTGCACATGAATTTACTCAATTTCTTATTAATTCTAGTTTCATATTCATTAATCCTAGACATATAGTATAGTGGTCACATATCATATGAGGTCAATAATCAATAGATGTTCATGCTAATCAATTATCTTCCTATTAACAGAAAATTAATTATTATTCATACACAAGGTTCTTTAGCAAGCTAAAATAACAAAAATTCACCAACTTGGAATTAATCCTACCAATCAATCAAACCATATTGTCAACTTTGTATCCCCAAACAGAAGTCTAAAGGTTTTAGTTCATAATTAAAGTAAATAACAGCAAACAAACAAGTTCAAGTTGCTTAATCATATTGACAAAACAAAAGAATAAGTAGAATGATGAAATTGTGCCTTAATTACTCCCGGAATTGAATTCTAGCTTTCTTTGCGCCGACTTCTAGGGTTCTTCTGGCTTCTTAATCGCAGCAAAACACTTCTGAATTGTCCCAGAACTCTCTCTAATCGATCTGAGGAGTTATATTTAAATAAGCGATCCGACTCGTCGAGTCAAGTGGTGACTCATCGAGTCTCTCTCACATTCCCCGTATTGCGATAACTATCTGGAATTCCGAGTCATTATCTTTTGATTCCTCGACCGGACTTGTCGAGTAGGCTATCTGACTCGACGAGTAGGTGCCTTTTTTAGTATTTTTCTTCTTCATTCCATTCTCGAGCTCCTAACCGCTTCTCCTGCTTCCTTTTGCTTCCGAGCTTCATCTTTGGACTGAAAAACATAATTTAACACTTTTAAGTACCTTTTGTCCATAATATGCGATAATTTAGCTAATATATGAATAAAAACTATACTTAATACACACTAAATATGCACATATCAAAATACCCCACACTTGACT